TAACCTTCCAAATCTACTCTTGAAAATTTAAAAATAGTACAATCTACATAACCATTTTCATCCAATAGCAAAAACATAAAGACATGATTTGAGGTAAGAGAACTAGATGTCCTTGCTTTAAGAGAAAAGTGATGAATACTTCCAGTCTTTGAAAGTATCAAATGATCCTATAAGAGTGAAATATCATTGATTTTAAAATTATAATTATACTCACCTTGACTAAGATAGCCCCTAACTTCCAAATTAAGCCATTTACAAAGAATAAGCGATTTCTGCCTACCTGCTGCTCCCCTCTAGACCACAAAGCCATCCCTGGCCCCACTGATAACATCTGTTCCCTCTGACCCTCTTCTTCAAATTGATGTCCTCAGTTCTTAGGGCCTCTCCTTACAGGGGCAATGAAGACTGTGTAACCAACTAATTTTGAAACAGACATCTAGAGCATAACCCATTCCTAGGCTAGGAACCGCACATAATTATAATCACCCAAAATAAGCAGCAGGAGCTGAAATTATAGAACTGAAAATATTCCACCAAGGAAAGAAGAGGAATTAAGATATTGAGAATGTATATTTAATAGTTGTAGCTATAGAAAGAGAAAGTAAATTGGCCAAAAAAAAAAATAAATTAAGAAGGTTTTTTAGGTGCAACTACTAGCTAATAATGCTGTCATGGGAACCCCTATAAAATGCTTACATTGCAGTCTAACAGAGCCCAGAATCCTCCCGCAGTTTAGGAAATCAAGTTATTGAAAATACAGTGTCTTTTATATTTAGAATGTCCTCTCTGCTTTAGGCTAAAAAGTGTGTCAACACTAGATGTTAACAATAACCAAAAAGAAAAGAAAGCAAAGAAACAAAAAAAATCACGTTCTTTGTTCTTCTTTTAAAAGAAAAGCACTAGAAGCAACAGAAAATAACAAGGCCACAGTACTAATCTAGTCAGAACCGAACGGGCACGGAAAGGCCACAATTGTATAGGGTCCATGAACTCTACACCAAGGGGATTTGGAAGTCATTCGGCTTTGATTTAATACTGTAAAAGTGTTTGTGCTTAATTATGGAAGCCTTTGGGGGCGCTTCCTTTTCCTCTTCCAATGTGGGGAGTCACCAGTAATGGAAATTACCTCGTTGTGAGATTAAGAAAGACAATGTGCAGGATGCCAACCAGGGCCACCATGGTTCTGACAAATTACACCCGAGATTCTCTTTTATGGCAGCAGGATATCACTCTGGGGGATTTTTCCATCAGCCAAAGTACATCTACCTGGATTTTTGTAGATGTGACCTTCAATTAAGGCAATGATTTCCTCATTACCCATTTTCCACAGGCTTATTTTACAGAGAAACTCCCAGGGAGCATGAAATGGGAAAACTCAGAAGGAACAAGAAAAGGGATTTTAAAACCAGGGTAGTCATTATAGCCTCAGGCAGAAAGGTGGAATGTTTTGGGAGCTTTATAAAACTTTATTTTATTTATATTGTTTTCCAAGGACAACTTTTACTAAGAGATGTGGGTATCAAAATCACAGCAAAGGAATGCTTTGTTAGATGGATGAAGAAGCTCCTCTCTGACCCCCTCATGCTTTGGGCCAGCACGTCACTGAGGAATTGTTTTATATTAGCAACAAAACCCACCTCCCAGACTTCGTAATATGAGAGTGCTTGCTGTAGCCAGCCACAGCTTAGTCAGTGCAAGCCCATCCGATATCTCTGGAGAATGGAAAATTGCCCCAGAAACCTTGTCTGCCAAAAGCATGGTACTCAGTAGGTAGAGCTCCCATCCTCATGCGCAACTCTGCAATTAAGCTCAAGACTGGCCTAAAAAACGCTCTAAAAAATAATATACCCCTGGTATAGAAGCTGGAGACAACATAAACGGAGACCCACAACCAAGATGTGTTGTTATTTGTCTTCTACTTGACCTAGCACCAGCGATGCTCCATTACTGCTCCCTTAGTGGAAGTGGGAGCGAAGGAGCAGAAGCCCAGTTTGGTGCACATTCTGTTTCCATTGACCAGGGCATCTAGAAAGGCAGGCCGCGTCCAGTAGCACAATAGCATGCCATCAGAGGAACATAAAGAGGAACAGCCATGCTGTAACCCATATTTTCTCAATAAATCTTTTCCTTAAATTTTTAATTTAGTTAACTCACAAATATCCTTCATGAAATAAGTACTCCTGTTCCCAGCTGAATAGGAATATTGACTTGCCCTCTGCTGAAGAGAAATCAGGCAGAGAAGAGTTTTGGTGAGGGGTGTCTGTGTCTGTGTGTTTTGTGGTTTCTTTGTTTGGCTTTCTCTTGTGGTTTTGATCATTCCCTGCCTTTCCTCTCAGAGTATGTTATTCTATTACCATATTTCTTATTGAGAGCTGACAGTATGTACAGAGAGACACAGGACATGGTCTCCACGTCCACTTCAGAGCTTCATGGCCCATGGTAGGAACACAAACAATTCAGAAAGAAAATATACTAAGAAGGTTTCAAATATCAGATGTACAAAGGAGCCAGTGCCAGCGTGAGCTGCTCCATGTGATGTCCCGGTACAGCGCTCCACCCATTCTATCCCAGGCTTCACACGATGCATGACGACACGCCCACTCTGTGCTTAAAAAACTGCTCACACAACAGTAGAATCATTAGACTTTGCAACTGATAAAGTCCTGAAAGACGATTTCATTCAGCGCCTGTCTTTTACAGCCGAAAACACTGTTGGCCCAGCAGGATGTTCAGAACTGCACAGAATTGGGGTAGAGCTGGGACTGAACTCCCACTGCAGTGCTCTGAAATTAAGCTGTGCTTTCTGCTATATGCTTTCAGGGGGGAGACTCTCCCTGTCACTGTTCCCAGCCCCATTAAGCATATATTTAAAAAAATTTTTAAAGCATAACATTTTGTAAAAAAAATTGGCACTACAGATGCGTGTGGGGCCTGTTCCATGTGTATCTCAGTATAGCCAAGTAATTCTGTTCCATGAGGCTTAACATACCTCAAGGAAACATACCACACAAGATCTGCAGAAAAACATACTGTTCCAAGCCTTTCCTTTTATGATGTGATTGCTGTTTATTGCAGACTTCACAACTGGAGTCCACCAATCATGTCACCCTAAAAATTTTTCATTTGTTTGGGAAAATTCTTCAACGATAACTCTTAGGCCACGTCTCCATGGCAATCTCCTCAAAGTTAATATGTCTTCATTTCCCCCTCAAAGCAGCTTAAAATTTCTGAACTCCAGTGGTATACTCTGACACCAATATGCATAGGTTCCTTATTCAGTATCCTTAGAAGGATCCCTGGAAGGTTCCTTGCCTCTAACACCTTCCCCACTTGGATAACATGGCCCCTGAAATCTCCTATACTCTAGGTTAAGTACCGTGCTCTTACAGTGATAAATTTATTTAAAGGTCCTTGTGAGGGAGCAGTGAGAAGAGAATAAACTGCAGGACATTCACCAAAAAGGAGATGGAGATAAAAATGAACTCCTTCACCTGCTTTATAATTTTCCTGACAGCTAACCCTGAAAGAAGCACTAGCCTCAGATTTTAAAATAAAAATTATGGATTCATTCTATATGCCACAGTTGGATATTTAGATAAGAAACTAAAAACAAAGCAAAGCAAAACAAACACACTAATATCAACCCTAATAAAAACGAAGAACCGAACGTTTCATATGCTTTCACTTGAAAACAACTAACCAATAACAAAGAGAGTAGTCTGCCGAATAGTGGACACCTGTGGTTTCTGATGGCCTGGCATTCCTGCCTCTTTCTCCACAGAAGCCAGAGACCCTCTTTTTCTCTTGGAGATTATCTGTCTGCATTTGGCCTAGGACGTGCCCCCATGCCCATAGCCAGGGTGGGCAAGCGACCCAGGCTGGCTACCAAGAGTAACTTATCTCCCTTGACAACTGACTGGCCCAGAAACAGACACATAATCCAAGTGGAGCCAATCCAAATTTTATTAAAGGTAATTATATACTCGGGGGGGAGAGAGCACCTTACCTCTGAATCTTTTCTGTATGATCACAACCTCAAAGGAAGGACCACATAAGCATGGAGCTGCCATTCCCTTTGACACCGCCTGAAGAGTGCTTGCTTGAGAATGAAGCCAGTTCAGATGAAAAGACAGTGATACCCTGCTGCTTGGCACCAATGGAATCTTTGGCCCAAGCTATGCCTGAAGCCAGGTCTACTCCTTATTGCCCCGTTGTGACCATTAAATCACCTTTTTGTTTGAGCTAATCCAGATTGTGTTTCTTGATATGCAGCTGACAGCCCCAATTACCACCCGCTCATATATCCTGGAATTTATGAGATGCTTCCTCTTATATGTGACAGGCAGGTGGTTGTCTTATATCTACATAATAACAGATATCCACTCGACATGATCAGGACTAATAACAACTACATAGATATCAGAGTTGATCTGTCTAAGACAGATAACTGTTTAAAAACCCAAGGCAGACCTTTTCAAACCAAATCCAAAGAATTTTAAAAATCAATGAGACAGGAATTTACTTTGGCAGACAACATTAAGTTTCAGTATGTGTAAATTTGAGTATGAGTTGAATTGAGTAGGTTTGACTACACCCAGTCCATGCCTCAACATAATTCCAAAGTCTGTGAAATCACAAACAGGTTTAAAAATCCAGAAAAAGACCCACAGTGGAGAAATGTCCGTCTGCATACCAGACTAGAGACAGTAGCCCAGTATGAATTTAAGAAGCCATGTGACCTCATAAAACACAAGCCAATGGATATTACTGTGAATTTTCAAAAGAATAAATCAATTGTGTTAGTTAATCTTATTTTATTATGAAGCTTTACTTCCATCTTCTTTAAGATACAAACCTAAATTCAAAACATCAATTTCCCACATTTTATTCCATCACAGAATTGCTGCATAACCTTGCCAAATCTGAACTTGCGATGTATCTTGGTCCTTCCACGTGTGGCGTGAGGGGGAGAAGTGGAGCCTTCAGAGGCTGGTAATACCCAGGTCCACCCTGAACTCTGTGAATGCAGATTTTAATTAGAAAGGTCCAATGTGTGCTGGCTTTTCTGTCTTACATTTCAGAATTCAAAGCTACATATTTTGTCTTATCCAGTCACTTTACAATTTTGCTGTCTCAACTTTTACATTTCTATAATTTCCAGTTTCTATATCTAAAACTTATACTGAAAAAATCAAGGAGAGAAAGTGTAGGAGTGTCTCTTACCAAATATTCTTTCTTCCCGTCTACATTGCTATTTATTGTCCTTCCTGGGGTGTTCATAGCATTTGAACAGGAGGAAAATGTGCCTGCAAAAGGTAACCTGTTGTACTTACAGATGGAAGACTTTTTAAAATATAAAACTTCCCCTTAAGCCTGCGTTGTTCTGCGTGACTTCCTCATGCCATACAAGCTTTTGTGTGGCCTTCTAGGCAGTGAATTTTGCAGCTGGAAATGAACCAGGAAGTATTAATTTATCACCTCCTACATGGGAGGCAAGCTACTTAGAGAATCTGATGGTTTAACATAATAAAGTGAAGGAAGAAGGCTTTGTTGAAAATAACGCCCATTGGCAAATAGTCTACCAATACGTTTGACTGAGCTATCAAGGCAGGAAATTGTGTAACAATTCAAAGCAAGCAAAAAAATCACGTAAATCTCTGTGACAAACATGTGCAATATTGATGGTGATTCTTGACTTGACAAAACTGAAGAAATGTTTTGGTTGTATTTCACATGAATTATCCAAATAAGCCAGTCTGTGGATGTCTGGTATAAGGTATAAATGAAAATTTTAAATTCTTCTTTGGCCCTCTCTAGGAGGATAAAGGAAAAAGTAGAGGATGGGAGTCGGGGAAGGCATTATTGCAGAGAGTTATTCGGAGTGATGGTTTCCTGTACATCAACGGACACATTCACGAACATGTTGTGAACAATGACTAGAAAAATTCTCTTGTTTAAAATTATTTATTGAGCAGCTACTTTGAGTCACTAAAGATGAAATAATACCATTAACATCCTGTTACTACTTCAGTAGGAGTTAAACAGATTTTTGTGAGTTTCATGAAAGACTAGCCAATTTTTCTAGAAACATGTGTTCCTAGCTCAAATTTTCAACCCACAAAATTATGAAAACAACAGCAACAACAACAACAAGAGCTTCTCTGCTCAGCCGGGTCTCCACTCCAATTTCACTGCTCTCCGGACACTCTTCAGCCCCTCTCCCCCTCCCTCTTATCATAGGAGACAGGAGGAGATGCAAGAGGGTAGAGCGAAAATGCCCCCTCTCACAAAGACAAACCCACTTGTAACTACACCCATTCCACCCATTCCACACTTTCCCTACAGAGATAACAGAGCAGCTGTCCCTCTTCCAATCTACGGGAAGTCTGTCCTTCTGGGCTCTGGACTGTATCCCCTCCTGCCTTCTCAGGCAGTTTACACACTGATTATCTTTTCTGTGCCTTATTTTCAACATCTCCCCCAATACTAGATTCTACCTATCAGCATTTAAGAATGTTCAAGAATACCCCACCTCCGAAGCAGACCAAAAAGAAAAAAAATCCACCTCCCTCCACACTAGACCTCTTCCTCCCCTTCAGTAGAAACTTTCAGAGCGAATTATCTCTGCTCATCGTTGCTGTTTCTGTCCCTTTCCTTCACTCCCTAGCCCACTCCAGTCTCTCCTCCAGCCCTGTCCCCCCATTACTCCACTGTAACCGCTCTTGTTACAGGCAACTCTCCGTTACCATCATGCTGCTACATCCAATTGCATTTCAGTCTTCATCCAACTAGAACTTTCGATGCTATTCAACTCCTTTGTCTAGCGCTTCCTTTTAGAAATCTCCCTTCTACTCGACTTTTATGACACTATACGCTCCTGGTTCTCCTCCTACCTCTCCAGCTGCTGATTCTCAAAGTCTTTTGTTGGCTCATCCTGACAACTCAGCCTTTAAGTGTTCCTCAATGTTCTGTCTTGGCCTCCTTTTCCAATTCTCTCAGCAATTTCATCCATTTTGACTATTATATTATTATAATTACTGTATTATTATATTATGATATATTACTATACATCTGTGACTCACACATTTGTATCTCCAATCCAAACCACTCCTCTGTATTCCTAACCCATTTGATTTTCTCAGAAACTAAAAACTGAATCTAGACCAAATCAAACTCATGATCTTCCTTCTGCACTAGTCTTCAAGTGTTCCTTGCCTATGCAAAGGCTATCTCTCACCACTACCCATCCAGTTATGGAAGCTGGAACCTTAAGGGTCATCCCTGACAACACCTTCTCCTTCACTGGCATATCCATCTCTTCATCTGTCCTGTTGATTATACTTTCTAAATACATCAGGAATACATCCTCCTCCAATCTCCACTTCCATGATCCTTGTTCACACTACTCTTATTTAGATTCTACTCTAGACCTACCTGGCCTCTTTACTTCTTCTCTTGATCCACTCATAACCCATTTTCCATGTAGCAGCCAGAGTCATCTAAAAACGCAAAATAAAATTAAATTCTGTTAGAATAAATTCAACATTTCTGGACTTTTTTTTTTTTGGTCTCCATTTGATATTTTTAAAATTATTTTTAATGGTGTTTTCAAAATTCTTTAAAACTTTAGTTCTCTATTTGTATAAAACTATGATTAAATTTTAAGAGATAGCCATTTCCCTATTTGATTGCTCAAATGATATTTTATAGATCATCCTACTTGAAAACAGTCCTTTGAAATTTTGAATATGCTCTCTCATGATGTTTTTATTGATTTGATGAGTGCTTCTACTGGTTATTATTATTATTATAATTTTCTCAATTAAGAAGTAATTCAATGAAGGCAGAATAATCTAAGATTTTTCTTTCAGACAAATAATATACAGTTTTCAAATTCTAGCCCTTAACCTCCAGTACCAACAAATGTTTTGCATCTACTAACGTGATTCAAAATTCAGCATTGTCTTTCTACATCTTGTTATTGCACATACTGTATTACAAAAATTTTGCATTGTAACTTTGTTTTAAAACTTTAGATTGTAGTCCTTTCTCCAATATTTGAAGAATTTTCAAGGTAACTTTTAAAAGGCCAAAAATGAAGGATCAGAAAGTAAAGGTTGTTTATTTTCTTCCTTCCTCTGCCAATCCAAATTAAGAAGATAGCTATGAGGTCCACAAGACACCTCTTGAATGAGAGTCATTTGACGGAAGTGCCATTTTTAATAGAATTATTTTAAAAATAGTATATTAATTTAAATTCCAATTTTTAATCTTTTCCCAGTTTCATTCCTTCCATTCTTACATTTCAAATATAGGTTAGCTCCTACTAAAAATCTGTTGTTTTATTGCTTTTCCAAAATATGTGGGTTTGATGCTTTAAAAATCTTGACTTGATACAGTCTTGAAATACCAACCTGAATCTCCATATTGCATCAACCTGAAATACTTTGAGGAAGTTAGTGGCTTAAGTGGCCTTCTGGGAGCAATGGGTCTCATCTTATTTCTGATAAATTGATGAGCGCTTGATGAAAGGAATCAAACATTTACCACCCAGTCTCTTCTTAATAACGGGCCAGGTTCCAGCCCCGCTCGGGAGGTGGGCTCGGGAGGCGGAAGCGGAGTGTCTCGTTCCTGCAGCAGCCCCTGCGTGGGAGTCCATGGGGCCGGGTATTGCCCACCAGGGCCTCTGCCGGACATTCTGGGTTGATGAATCTCCCCTTCAGTGGAACTGGGTCCTATTTAGTCTGGGGATTTGTGATGTCAGGAAGACTGATGTGTTCATGAGACCAAAATATAATCAACCTAGGAACACTGCCAAATTCTTCCTCTGTCTATCACTTATTCTCACGTAAAGGTCGGTCTGTCTCCCTTGCTAGGGAATTGCAGAAATCTAAACCTGACCCTTTTCAGCAGTTAGTGGAATCCAACAGCAGAGGAAAGAGGTTGTTAGCAAGGACAATTTGCTCTGGACCAACCCACTAGCAGGCAATTATCAATCCATGCGGTAGGGTTCCATTTACCCAGTACTGTGTGGAAACCAAGGAGTCTAGAAAAGCCTCAGATCGGCTAAGACCAGACAACTCAGAGGCAGAACTTAACTACGATATTTCTCCCAGAGTACACAGCGCACGTCTTATTAGTCGGTTGGAGAAAGGCTGGCAAAAGCGCTCAGCTGGTGAGCAAGAAAGGAGACAGGCGTTTTCGGGGCCTTGACCCGCTAGAGGAACGCTTCCCGGGGAAAGACGGGAAGGATCCGGAGGGGGCGAGGTTGCGGAGTGGGGGCAGTCCCTCTCTGAGTGCATGATCTGGTGGCTTTTTTTGTTAGCTTGGTGGGTCCAGGCTGGGAAATGCACACTCAGCAGGGAAAGGGGAAGAGAGATTGGCGGCAGTTTTCTAAAAACAACACAGCTCAAGTCTCCCGCGTGTGCCCCCGCGCTCACCCCGCCGACGCACAGACGGGTCAAAACCGGCTCCCTGGAGCTAGCGCGGCCGCCCAGATCCCACTAGGAAGAAGGCGGGTATCGGTGACTCCAGGAGGCGCCGGCCGCTGCACCCGCCCGGTTCCCCTTCTCTGTCAACCTGCCAGGCTCTAAGAGGCGCCTCTCCCTCCGAGCCTTGTACTGAGGTCGCTCCGGGTCACCCCAAATCTGATGATGCCGCTCGCCAGCGCAGCTGGGAACTGGGACTGGCGGGGGTGCGCCCGGGGCGGAGAGGAAGGCGGGAGGCGGCGACGCGCGCCGGTCGTAGCCAAGCGCCCGGGCTTTCCTCCGCAGCGCCTGCTCCCCGGGGTCTGCGCTGGGAGCGGCTGGCGCCCCCTCTCGCCTCCGGCCTGCCCACGGTCCCGCCCACTCGACCCAGGCATTTGACTCCCGGCCTCGTAGCGCCACCCTCCACCCCGCGCCTCCCAGGGGTCCGAGAGCCGAGAAAAAGGAAACTGGTGAGGGAAACAGACGTTCGTGGGCACGGCCGGCTCGCGGCGCCCAGGGGGCCGGGTCTCCAGCTTGGAGGCGGGGGCGGGCGAGAAAGAAAGCTTGCCTCAGAGAGAGAACGCGGCGAGTGCGGGTGCCGGGTGTGCAGTTCGCGCGGCGGGGGACCCGCGTGCACCCCAAGGGGCGCGCGTCACCGCACCCAGCCGGGACCCGCGAGCGCCGAGCCCTCGCTGGGGGCGCGGGCGCCTTGGGCTGTCTTTCTCTCTTCCGCCTAAACCCCCTAGTCCTTCCGCCAAAACCTTGACCAGGGTCTCCTTGCCAACATTCCTAAATCCCCTTTGCCAGCTCTTTGCACCAGGTAGGAATAAGGCTCTGCTTCCGACATGTCTTCCTGAACGCCAATTCCAGAAGGTGTAGTGACCTTTTCACCTTCCCCACGAACTCCTTCGGAGGAGGTCCGGGGGCATTTACCCCTCCCAAGGGCCTGATCGAAACCTGTTTGTTCCCTGAAATGTCCTTGCTATTCACATCCGCAGAGGCCTTCTGCAGCAGTTCCCGGAAAGCCCTCGGGGATGGAACTGGGGGGCAGCCAGCCCACAGTGAGGACGCCGTGGGAGGTGGGGGTGGGTAGGAGCTAGACGGCTGACGTGACAGTTGCCTGTGGCCGGGAGCGGGGACCGTGAGAGCCCTGCCAAGAGCACCCCTCCCCCGGGATGCACAGAAACGGGCCACTGGACCCCTAATTTCCAAATCCCCCAACACCTGGGCTCCAAGACATGAGGCTGGGCGGGGTCGGGCGACGGCTGCCCCCTAGCTGGAAGGCGCATCACCTCCCACCCTCCGGCGTTCCCTCTGCCCCGGAAGAGAGGGCACCGAATCGCGCTTAACAATGGAGCCCGCGGCGCGCGGCGGGCACCCAGGCGCGATGGGCGCCCAGCAGCGCGCCCTGATACAGGGCAGGGCCGTGTGGGGCTGCAGCCCAGGCTCGCCTGCCCGAGTGGGCTGACTCGGCTTTACGTGCCTGCCACACTGCCGACCCTCGCCCGGCTCTGCGGTGCGTCTCCCACTCCAGCCTCGCTTTCCGCCTGTCCCCCTAGCCCTGGCCCGGAGCGTCCAGGGGCGCCCTGCTGCTCTCTGCCACAGGTCTCGGGCCGGCGCTGTGGGGAGTGGCAGGGGGCTGGCCCCGCGCTCCTCGCCGCCGCGGGCGCCGGCCGGGGGTTGGAGTTGTGAGAAGCAGCCGCCACCTCCCGGGCGCTCGGCACTCCTCAGCGGCTGGATCCCGGAGATCCTCCGCGAGCTGCCCCCTCTCCCCCAGGGGTCTTGAGCGAGCACGCCGAGGTAGGCTAGCCCGACCCTGTCGCTGGCACTGACCTCGATGCCCCGTCCCCAAACACACACCCCCACCGCCCTGGGCGCAGACCCCCAGCGCCTCCCTTCCCGTGGAGATCCCTGTAGGGCCTCCAGGAGAGACGGACAGACGGACGGGGAAAGCACACGGAGGGAAACTTGTTCCTCCCGGTCTCCTGTCAGGCAATTACTGGCGAGCCCGTGCGGGGAGAGGGGAGGGAGGAAGCGAGCGGAGGGCTCCTGAAGGGGAGGGGAGGACGGGGGAGGGGGGAGGCGGGGGTGCAGTTGGTGAAACTCCTCGGTCTCCCGCTCATCTTTTCATTGCCTGCTCCTCTCCTTCACGCAGACACCCCGGACCTCCCCTGGGCGCCAGCTCCTCGGCTGCAACGGGTCCAGAAACAAGCCGGATTTTTTTCTTTTTTTCTTTCTGGAAATTGGCTTTGGTGTGCGTTTCTCTACCTCCCTCCGCCCCCTCCCAGCTGCCCCCCCCGTTTTTTTTTTTTTTTTTTTTTTTTATTGAGGAAGATCGGCCCTGTGCTAACATCTGCCAACCGTTTTTTTTTTTTTTTTTTTTGAGACATGGCCCGGGCAGTGGCTCCTGGAAGAGGAACAAGTGTGGGAAAAGAGAGAGGAAACCGGAGCTAAATGACAGGATGCAGGCGACTTGAGACACAAAAAGAGAAGCGTTTCTCTCGGATCCAGGCATCGCCTCGCTGCTTTCCTTTCTCCAGGACGGACTGAGGATTTTACAGCTCTAGGCGGAGTTGAAGCGCTTCGGATTGTTGAGATTCCCCCTTGGCTCGATTTTCCCCGCACGTTCTCGTCCTCCCGCGTCTGCCTGGGGAGCCGGCGAAGGGAGAATGGAGAGGGGGCTGCCGCTCCTCGGCGCCGCGCTCGCCCTCGCCCTCGCCCTGGCCAGCGCTTTTCGCAACGGTAAGTGACAGGCGGAGGCGCGTGTGACAGCGCGGCGCCGGGCTCCCCGGCTCCCGCGTCCGGCCGGGGTTGGGCTTCCCGCCCCAGCCACGGGCTCACGCAGAGCTGCCGGGATGAACCTGGAGTAGCCACCTCCTGGGCGAAGGAAACTTTTATCCGGGCGGAGAAATAAGATCAGTCGGTTTGGGGTAGGAAGATTTCAAGTACTGCGGCTCCCTCCTGAAGTTGGTTGGTTGGCTGTGGGGGTTTTCCTACCTCTGTTACAAGGCAGAGCTGCCTACCTTCCCAGATCGGCACACCAATTATCTTAATAATGTTTCCTCCCAAAGGCAATTAGATGAGACTCCCTTTCAAAAATCTGATGGCTGTTGAAAGTTAATGAACACTTACCAGGAGAACTCCCTGGTTCTCCTGCAGCTCCTCTGAAGTCTTTCCTCTGGTGGGTGCCTGCAAGAGATAGCGGTTTGCTGGTTGATGGAACTCCCTCCTCCGCCTTGGTAAATCGTCCCTAATCCGTCTGGAGCATGAATGAAAGTTACATAGTGTCAATAAAGGAACCTGATATACACAGTGTAAGACACCAGGATATCTGAAAATCCCTCACGTAGCTGCAGTTTCCACTCGGCTTTAAAACCACTCACTGTTAAGTAAATGAAAGACTGTGCTGGGTTATAAACAGAATCCTGAAACCTAAATAATGTGTTTTAAAATGTGATCTGGTTGTAGACATGTTTGACTTGCAGTGTAAAGTAGGTGAAGGCAAGGATATGAAATTCTCTTTACAGTAGGGCCTTAGCAATTATTAACTAATTATCAAATATTTACTTTTGCCTGGCTTAGATTTCAATGAGAGTAATTAGAAGAAAAGAACATACCCTACTTACTGTGGTATATTGTTTTAATAAGAGACCACAAGTGGAGGGGTCCTACCAAGAGGAATTTAAATCATGTCTTTATGATGGAAGTTAATTTCTCTAATATGGTTTTTGGAGGTTTTGTGATTGAAGCAATAGATTTCCCTAACAGCTACCAAGCAGTGTTCTAAAAGATATGCTTCCAAGCAAAACACACACACACACACACACACACACACACACACACACAATTGTGAATGTGGAGTTCAATTTATTAATGAACCTGAGTTGGTGGCATCTTTCTATAATCTGGCAGGGGATGAAATAATATTCTCCTCCAATGGAAAGAGCTTAAGTGGTTATACTTTAGAAATTATAGTAACTCACCCTCTGCCCTCCACAACTCCTGGCGTTAAGTCGGTGGTGGAGATGTTCACAGGATGGATTTGAAGCCTAATGCAAGGAGCTTTCAGACTTTAGGTTGGAAACTCCATGTATATACAGGTATACGTGTATGTGTTTGAATGTATACATATAATTTAACAGAAATCTGGGGAGTGCGGAGAACCTGAGCTTCAGTCCATAAGCTTGCCTGTGAAGCCCTGTTGCTGTGCTTGTGGTGGCTACAGCCAGTAAATGCCTGTGTAACTCAGCAGACCTCTTAAAGCCATGTCCACTCCTTCGAGTACCAGTGTCTGCTAAATTAATTCATTAACCTTATTTAGGACTAATGGTCCAGAGTCATTAGAAATTGCTCTTTCTTAATCAACTGTTAGAGAGATTTAACAGAGCCAGGGAGTCTACCAGTCCACATTATCTTATTACACTGTCACTTTCTCAGAAGTCACAGATTAAAGAGCTCTGGTGTAGTACCAAGTCCACCTAAATGTCTTCTGAAGTGACTCTGTCGAGTGACTAGAAGCAGTGCTGTTTTATTTCACTCTTCTAACAGATGCCAGACACTGCCATGATGTTTGTACAGAGCTGGAGGAGACTTAATGAGATGGGGTCACTTTCCAAGTTTTCTGCACATTTAAAATAATGCAAGGGCCTCAGCAGAATCTCACAACAGAGTCCAATATGATCATTAGCTGAGATTCTCAACTCCAGTTGCAACATCATTTCTTCTTGGCAAACCTTAAGCTTTTAAAAGCCAAGGTGAAGGAAACCAGTATAAGATTACCCTCAGTCTAAAAATCATAGAAACATCGAGCAATTGAGAAAAAACAATGTAATTTATATTGTCTTCTTTTTAATTTATGGGAAATGATTTCTGTAATGCATGTAGCTTTATGCATTTTTGATGTGCACTTCATCTTTCATTTCCATTTGACCTGGTTTTCCTGTAATAAAATTCTGTAGATTTATAAATTCATGCTGAGAGCAAAGAATGCCATTCTCTTTCCACAGGGAATCTATTAGATGCAATATTGAAATCTATATATACCATTACTGAAAATTTGTGATTGATAGGCTTATATATTTCACTGCTTTTGTACCTGTTCCTCTTACACAGTTTATGCACCGAATTTTTATTGCTCAAAATTAAGCATCAATAAATGTGGGAGCATTTCAGGGTGAGGCTCTCCAGCCTGAAATCCATCATAAAAAGTGACAATGAGAATCTATGCCAAACAATAAAGCAGCCCTGAGACTGGTTTATTTGGCTCTCAGTGAATCACTTCACATTGGGAGTTTTTGAAATGCAGGCTCAAAACTAGTTAGCTTGCCTTTCCCAGAATGTGAGAATGGGGCTTACCATGTGGAGCACCCAGACCTCAGGGTGGTGGGGTTTTTTTCAACATGTAGGTAATTAGAATTAATGCTGTGTGGCTATTTATTTTTCTTACCTTCCCATTGCTTTGATCTGGTCTCCAAGCCTGAACAACTTTACTTGGAGCAATAGAGCAGAATTATTTCTGCTTCACCAACTATACTTTGTTCTCTGTTGCTCTGGATCTCAAGAGCAGAGATAACTCAAAATCACTTAGATTTATGGGCAGATAAAACAAAAACAAAAAAGGTTTGTCTTGGAAGACAATCCCCACTGATCAATGACACAGACCAGGCTTATCATCAAAAAGCGACACAAGGGGTCGGATAGCATCTTTTAGTCACCTTCCACTTAGAACTTGCTACTTAATGCGATTACACTTCTTCAGGGATAATTAAGTCTAGCAGAAGCTCCCTGGGGAGCATGTTAACATCCATTGAGAGGATTTACTGTTTTTAATGCTAGAAGGCCTTTTTCTTGGGACGGAACTTTGTGGGGGATGGGGGTGGAGCCGTGTCAGATCTCTCAGTACACTTTCCTCCGGAGCCAACACACCAAAGTGTGTTCTTGGTGGGGTGCTGCTCTCAGCGCCACCTGAAGAACCTGCAGGGACCTCTTGGAGTTCCCTACAAGAAGTTACGGAATGTTTAATAGCTGGCAATTTATACATAAAACTAGAATATCTAACTGGTTGTCAGGAAAAGATCTACTAAAATGTTATTTTTATTGCAGGTAAATGTGGCGATACCATAAAGATTGAAAACCCCGGGTATCTTACATCTCCCGGTTATCCTCATTCTTATCACCCAAGTGAAAAATGTGAATGGCTGATTCAGGCTCCCTACCCCTACCAGAGAATTATGATCAACTTCAACCCCCACTTCGATTTGGAGGACAGAGACTGCAAGTAAGTGAGACCGCATTGGAACAGGGCGCCACGGCACCATCTAGTGGTCGTGGATGGCGAAGGGGGAAATGTCTGTGTGTAGGATGTGGGATATAAATGGATCCAGGAGGGATTTCAATCTAGGCCAGATCGTATGTCAATGGCATGGAAATTAAATTATGTTAAGTGATTTCTGAGTTCCCCATACTAGGAAGATTATATTTAAATGTGTAATCTCTATTCTTTTTCCTGTTAACACTTTGGTTTTGGAACTCTTTTGTTAAGAAATGTATATACATGGTTCTTTTTTTTTCCTAGAAAGAGAAAGAACTAGAAACCTAAACTCTCACTTGAGTTTTGTTAAATATCGTGGGTCACTAACATATATTGCATTGACAGATAGGGAGGTTGAATATTTTTGGACAAATCTGTGGCAAATTTTGTGATTTAGGAACTGTATTTATCCTATTGAATTGGACATGACAAAAACAAATTGTCATTGAACAAAAATAAGGTATATAGGATAAGTTGGATGAGGTGTTCTTATAGTAGGTTAATGATTGCCGGTCTCTTATGGAGAATGCTAGAAAAGAATTGTTAATACACAATGAATACAGTGGGACTCAAATACGAGTCAGTGTTTCATCCATCTGCTTTAGTCTTGCTCTCTCCTTCTATTAAGTTACTAAGCATCAATTTATGCCAGATTTTATTATTAGGAAAACAGTCTCACCA